TCTGTCCAGGTACATTCTGAAACAGCAGTGATCCGGTGGGTGCTTTAAAAAAAATCCAGATGCCTGTCTTACCTTCAGAGATTCTGATTTAATTGACCTGTGGGTATCGTCTGGGCATAAGGATTTTTTAAAGCTCCACATATTTCTACTGTGCAGCCAAGGGGAGAGTCACTGCAGTGCACTTTCACAGAGCATCAGCCTGACCTCAAGTGATCTTCTTCTGACCTCAAGTGATCCACCTGCCTCAGCCTCCCAAAGTGCTGGGATTACAGACGTGAGCCACTGCACCCAGCCCTACTTAGTTTTATTTTAACATGTTAGGTAAATAGCTAACTATTCCTATGTTATTATAAGATTTCAAAAACCATAATGAATGTTTAATATAATCAAATGCCTTTTTAGCATCTATGGAAAGGATCACATAATCTCTCTTTACATCATCTATTAATATCATAAAACATATTAATACCTTTCCTAATTTTGAACTAACCTGGCATTCCTGACCAAATCCCAAATACTTATGGTTAATTATTTTGGTTAAATTACTGAAATAAATTTGTTAATCTTTTATGATTTTACATTTCTTTTCTTTAATATAAAATTAAAGAAAAAATTTTTCTTTTTCTTTTGAACTAGTTACACACACTTCGCAAAAAAAAAAAAAAAAAAAAAAACTTGGACGCTTTCTTCTTTTATATTCTTGAATAGTTTGATTGTCATTACAAACTTCCCTGTGGCATTTTATAGAGAGGTTGCTTTTTATTAGTGGCAGTTGGAAGCTAGCTCTTCCTCTACTCTTTCTATAGTAGTCTATTTAGATTTTCTAACTGTTCTAGAATTATTTTAATAAATCATAACTTCATAGAAAACTTTTATAACTTGGAGTTCAGAAAAATAGAATTTTATAATTTTTATTGAAATATAATAGTTGTACACTTTTAGGGAGTACACTGTGATGTGTGTATGTATATATAGCAATGTGTAAGGATCAAATCAGGGTAATTGGGATATCTATCACTTCAAACATTTATCTTTGTGTTGGGAACATTCCAATTCTTCTGGCTATTATGGAATATACAATAAATTATCGTTAACTACAGTCTCTATACTCTGCTATCAAATTCTAGAACTTGTTCCTTTTATTTAACTGTATTTTTGTACCCATTAACCAATTTCTCTTTATCACTCTTTCCCCTCACCCTTCCCAGCCTCCAATCACCACCATTCTATTCTCTACCAGAAGTTTTCAATTTTCTATTGGGCTATGTTTTCTTCCTGTCAATTATTATTTTGCATGCTTATACTTTTTTGCTTTTACTCATGATTAGATCACTTAGTTAAGGTTTGTCAATTTCATTTTACCACAAATAACCTGTTCTCAATTTGTATTCATTCTTTTTTCTATTTTCTAATTTAGTACTATGTAATTCCTTTAGATTTTCTTAAATTTCTTTTGTTTTCTTATTCTAAATTCATGAGTAGGTTAAGCCTTTTCATTTCAATTTTTTGCTGATTAACATGAACATATCTTTTGACTTACAGTTGTAAGACTACTGAGGAAGTCAGCATACCTACACCATCTCTACACGTTCTTTCTTCTTTTCTTAACTTTATTAGATGTGTCATTTCTACAATGTCATTGTTCATACATTTATATTTTATTCTGAAACCACAATCCCCATATATGTCTTACAGTAAAAAATATTCAGTGCTTATTAACAGTTCTTTTGTTTTCTTTTTCCTTCCTCTTCTCTTTATTGGTTGAAGTTTATCCTCTAGAAATTTATTCTGTTGGGCTCATAGAATAACTATTCTTGAGTTTTTGAGTGTCCAAAAACTTTAGGCTGTTGCTTGTATATTTGAGTTATAGTTTGTCTCAATAGAAAATTCTCTGGTTACATTTTCCTTCTGTAAAGATTTTATAGGAAGTTTTCTATTCTTTTCTAGTCTTGAATACTTCTGTAGAGAAATTTGAGATAAGCGTCTTCTCATTCCATTGTGACTTGATTTCTGCCAATATACCCAAAGGATTCATTATTTTTAAATTACAATAACCTTACTAGGACTATCTCAGAATGGGACCTGTTTCTGTCTCCTGGTACATGTTGTGAGTTTTCAGTCTCTAGAAGCCAGTCTTTGGTTATTTCTGGAAATTTATTTTGTCTAACTGTTTGTTCCTCTGTGCTCATTTTTTGCCTAAGTTCTGTTATCTCACATTTCATCTCCATCTGGTATCTTGAAACTCTTCCCTGAAGTCTTGTATCTCTGTCTTGTGTTCTTGTTACACAGAGGTGAATGGTTTTTAACATGTTTTCAGTTCACATTTGTTTTTTGTCTTTCAGTTATTCAGCAGCTCTATGCCACCATTTTTCTTCTGAGTGTTTGTAATCTAGCATTTGTTTGTCCTGGTTTCTCTCCTCTCCCCTCCCCATTTTTTCTTGAGTATCTTTAACTAAATCTTGTGCTGGTTCCCTTTTGAAGTCTAAATGAATTGAAAGGTGTCTGAGCCAGTGTTTCATGAGAGTTTTTTGTTGGGGACAGGTGCATGTCTTGATTCACGGTTGATTTTGAGTACCTTTTGCCTTGACTTCTCTAATGTCAATGCTGACACACAGCTTTTACAGTTTTCTTGCTTTTACAGTCTCACTTAAACACTACACAATCAGCTTGCCTGGGTGGCTTCTCATTCAGTCCTGCCTCCTCTGCTTCTCAGATCCAAACTGAGACCAAAGAAGACCATGCTACCAACCATTTCCACTTTTATAAACAAGGGATTTTTAAGAATATTTTGGTGACCATCCCCCAAAGCAGTCACATCAACCATACTACTACAGCACTCTGATTTCTGAGATCTGATTTTCTTAACCACTCCTGGCCCTGAATTTCACTGCCCCAGTTCAGGCAATCATCATACTTCCCTTTCTGTTAGAGTTATCAGACTCCAACCTCTTCCCATCTTCTGATTTCAGATACAAGGGTATGACATTGCTCTTAAGGAAACTCTAGCCCTACTTGTCTCTGGTCAATAAAGACACTGCTATTTTTTTGATCCAGAGTTTGACATAATTCAATATGGCTTTCCAAGTACGTGCCTTCTTCATTTGAAGACATACCCTTAGAGTCATTGGTCAATCTACCACGACTGAAGGAAGGACAAGTAGAAGACCAGTGTCTGTGCAATGTAGAACCCTGACTGCACCTGGCAGGAACCAACCCACAGGCTATGATTACAACTTTGGTTTCAGAGGGGAGTAGCAGACAATGTACATAGAAAAAATAATTTTAAATTGTTAGTCAAAGTCCAGTGTACGGATTTAAGTAACAATAATAACATTAGCAATTTATTGAATGAGGAGTGTTGAATTGACACTTCATAGTGTGGTCCCTCTCTGTGAAGAAACGTGCTCGGCTGATCTTTCCGACATTCAGAATCATGGATATCTTCTCTCTGATTCTTTTTTTTTTTTGAGACGGGGTCTTGCTCTGTCACCCAGGCTGGAGTGCAGTGGCCGGATCTCAGCTCACTGCAAGCTCCACCTCCTGGGTTCCCGCCATTCTCCTGCCTCAGCCTCCCGAGTAGCTGGGACTACAGGCACCCGCCACCTCACCTGGCTATTTTTTTGTATTTTTTAGTAGAGACGGGGTTTCACCATGTTAGCCATGGTGGTCTCGATCTCCTGACCTCGTGATCTGCCCATCTCAGCCTCCCAAAGTGCTGGGATTACAGGCTTAAGCCACCACGCCCAGCCTTTTCTTTCTGCTTCTTGCCAGACCTTCACTTGATCATAATTATTTCCAGAAGCCTTGAAAACTAGGCAACAGTTTCAATATCTTCTAGTTTCTCTGAAAATCTCATAAATTTTTCTATTTTGAAGTCTGCTTATCGGTCTCTGATTCTATGACATTGATTTTTTAGATTCCACATATAAGTAAAATTGTAAAGTATTTGTCTTTCTGTGTCTAGTTTATTTCACTTAGCATAATGTCATCCAGTTTGTATGAAAGGATATATTTTAACATTCTCACCACAAAAATGAGTTGGTGATGGGATGGCTATATTAATTACCTTGATTTAATTGTTTTACAAAGCATATACTGATCAATATCACACTGTACCCCATAAATATACACAATTATTATTCATCAATTAAAAATAAATTATTAAAATGTAATCTGCTTATTAGTTTGGGTTGATCCCTCAGAGAAAAATGGGAAAATTCTATCTTTTTTTCTTCTTTTTTTTGGGGGGATGGAGTCTCACTCTGGCGCCCAGGCTGGAGTGCAGTGGCGTGATCTCAGCTCACTGCAAGCTCTGCCTCCCAAGTTCACACCATTCTCCTGCCTCAGCCTCCCAAGTAGCTGGGACTACAGGCGCCCGCCACCATGCCTGGCTAATTTTTTCGTATTTTTAGTAGAGACAGGGTTTCACTGTGTTAGCCAGGATGGTCTCGATTTCCTGACCTCGTGATCCACCCGCCTCGGCCTCCCAAAGTGCTGGGATTACAGGCATGAGCCACCGCGCCTGGCGAAAATTCTATCTCAATCTCACTATATTCAAAAAGGAAGTCTCTTGCCTTTAAAAAAAAAAAAAAAAATTTATTGCGTATATTTAAGGTTCACCACATGAAGTTATGAGATACATGCAGACAGTAAAATGATTAGTATAGTGAAACAAATTCACGTATCCATCATCTCACACAGTTACCCATTTTCCCCTCTCTGGCAAAAGCAGCTATAATCTACTCATTTAGCAAAAATCTTGAATACAATACACTTTATTAACTACAATCCTCATGTTGTAAATTAGATCTTTTATCTTAGTTTATTTTCCCACGTATTCTGAGCTTTTCAGCTAGCAGAGGATGAGAGGGACAAGGTGGTGGTGGCACTGGGCATCTCAACCACGAGCAAGGTGAAGGCATTGAGGTGATGGAGGAGGTCAATGAGTGAGGGACGGCCTGGGGACTCGCCATGGGGCTTTGAACATAAATGGTTTAAAATGTTAATGTGAACTGAGTGAACTGATACCTCCCCTGCTGGGACATGTCCTTATAGGAACTCATGGAGTCAGAAGCTGGGACCAACAGGACCGCCGTTGCTGAGTTCATTCTACTGGGTCTGGTGCAAACAGAAGAGATGCAGTCTGTGGTCTTTGTGCTCCTCCTCTTTGCCTATCTGGTCACAACTGGGGGCAACCTCAGCATCCTGGCAGCTGTCTTGGTGGAGCCCAAACTCCACACCCCCATGTACTTCTTCCTGGGGAACCTATCAGTGCTGGATGTCGGATGTATCACTGTCACTGTTCCTGCAATGTTGGGTCGTCTCTTGTCCCACAAGTGCATAATTTCCTATGATGCCTGCCTCTCCCAGCTCTTCTTCTTCCACCTTCTGGCTGGGATGGACTGCTTCCTGCTGACCGCCATGGCCTATGACCGATTCCTGGCCATCTGCCGGCCCCTCACCTACAGCACCTGCATGAGTCAGACAGTCCAGGGGATGTTGGTGGCTGTGTCCTGGACTTGTGCCTTCACCAACGCACTGACCCACACTATTGCCTTAACTACCCTCAACTTCTGTGGCCCCAGTGTGATCAATCACTTCTACTGTGACCTTCCACAGCTCTTCCAGCTCTCCTGCTCCAGCACCCAACTCAATGAGCTGCTGCTCTTTGTAGCAGCAGCCTTCATGGCTGTGGTGCCCTTGGTCCTCATCAGCGTGTCCTATGCCCATGTGGTAGCTGCTGTGCTGCAAATCCACTCAGCTGAGGGCAGAAAGAAGGCCTTCTCCACATGTGGCTCCCACCTCACTGTGGTGGGCATCTTCTATGGGACAGGTGTCTTCAGCTACATGAGGCTGGGTTCAGTGGAATCTTCAGACAAGGATAAGGGGGTTGGAGTTTTCATGACTGTGATCAACCCCATGCTGAACCCACTTATCTACAGCCTCAGAAATACTGATGTTCAGGGCGCTCTGTGTCAGCTACTTGTGGGGAAGCGATCACTGACCTGAGAGATGACCTCCTTTCCTGCCTTTTCTCGACTGAGGAAAATTTCCCAAGAGGACAGTAACCAACGAACCTTGCTTATAACCATTATTTCTATATCTTGATGCCTGAGGAGTGGTGTTATGTGTTTGGCCTACAAGGAAACCCTATATAATTCATTCATTTATTCATTCGACAAATATTTATTAAATTACTTCTATGATCCAATCTTCTAGGGCACTGGGGAGCAAAATGGACAAAAGTCTCTGCACTCAAGCAAATGACATGCTATAAAGGTAGGCTAAATAAATAAATAAGCATCATATATAATATACCACGTGGTGATACACTCTATAGAAAAAAGCTAGTAAGACAGGAAGACATGAAGTTAGCTTCTGCCAACCAAGCCTCTTGGGCAAGTTGCTAACTTGTTTTGGGCTGTGCCCACTTTCTCAGTAGAGTTGAAACCTTGGCGCACTTTATGCCTGGGCAGCAATGTCCTACAGGAAAGGGCCACTTAACCCCAGCCTAAGTAACCAAGAATATCACTGCAAAGTTTCCTTCCAGAGGGATGTGAGACTCCCTCCAGATCAGAGTATGGAAAGGTATTTTGAACCATGGGCCCAGTGCCAGGAATCATTTCATTCTGCTGTTCACCTTTCACCTCCCATAAAATCAGTTCCCTCTCTTTAGTACCACACGAGAATCCCATAGGATGATCAGGCAACAGGTGGGGTCTAGAGAAGGAAAGAGCTACTAAATAAAAACTATGTTCATACTTACGTGATATACCTTAAGATCAAAAAAGGAATGTTCTATTTCCATCCCCTGTGGTATCTTTCTCCTATCTGATAAGTCATCTTCCTGACACATATGATACTTTTTGAAAGAGTAAGCATTTATGTTCCAATCAGGCCCTTGGAATTTTGTTGTAGACTACCCAATACAACATTCTCCTCCGAAGTCTTACTTTTCTATCCCAAACCTTCTAGCCTGAAAATACACATCCACAAATGCAGTCCCTGGGAGTGATACCTCTTTCTAACTTTATATTCTTAACACATCAATACCACTGTAACCCAGAGCATTTCCTCATCTTGATGTCTATCCAGGCTTCAGCCCACTAATCCCTGATTCTCTCCAGCCTTCCTGGGAAGACTGTTTACCATGTCCTAGCAACTCTACTGTCCTTTTGCTGTGTCATCCCTAAAACTGTACATGGGTGCACCTGAACCTTGGCTTCTCTGTTATTTCCTCTTGGGGCTGACTGGAAGGATGGGCTGAGATAAGGATGTGAAGAAAATATAGGAGAGTGGGAGGTAGGAAAGGATTGGAGCGGAGCAATGAAGATGAAATGAGTATATTGAGAGGGATGGGACAGGATGATGAGCAAAAGTGGTGAGAAGGAAGGATGAAAGTAATGAAGGAGATGGCGCAATGAGAGAATGGGAAGAGAGAAGTATATCTCTTTCCCGATGCTCTTGGTTGTCAAGACACTTTAAGGTTAAAGAACTTGAGCTTCCCTTAAGGGTAAAGTTCTTGTGAATGAAAATCAGGGACACAGGTTGTAATCACATCATTCCTACTCATCCACTGCTCTGTGATCTTAGAAAGTTCCTTACTATCGTTTGGCTTGTGTCCACCTGTACGGTAAAGGACTGGGACAAGGCTTTCTATCCACAGTTCTTCATATTTAATGATCTCTGATCATAATAGTCTGAATGAACTTTTCCCTGGGTCTGAACACATCACAAAACATTTTGAGAGCATTACCACCACCATTTCCACCCCTCCATCTACCCCGTGAGCATCTCACATTTGTCTACGACCCCCAAAGATCCCAGGTCCTGGCATTCTGAACACTCATCCTTTCCTGCGTTCCACCTGTCCTCCAACACTAAGGGTTTCCTGAACAAGTGAGAAAAGTGTATTTCCCTTGGGAATTTCTCTCATTGTGCTCTTGAATGTAAATATACTTATTTTTAAATGTTTCAGAAATATTATACCTGACAGTAGAAACATTCAGACAGTATTATACTGTCAAGTGGGAAATAAACCTCACCAAAAACCTCATCAGAGTTAACTCCTCTTAAGAATTTAGTGAGTGGGCGTGGTGGCTCATGCCTGTAATCCCAGCACTTTGGGAGGCCAAGGCGGGCAGATCACATGAGGTCAGGAGTTCGAGACCAGCCTGACCAACATGGTGAAACCCCATCTCTACTAAAAATACAAAAATTAGCCAGGCGTGGTGGCGGGCGCCTGTAATCCCAGCTACTTGGGAGGCCGAGGCAGGAGGATCGCTTGAACCTGGGAGGCGGAGGTTGCAGTGAGCTGAGATGGCACCAATGCACTCCAGCCTGGGAGACAAGAGCGAAACTCCATCTCAAAAAATAAAATAAAATAAAATAAAATAAAATAAAATAAAATAAAATAAAATAAAAATAAAGAAAGAAAAAAAAGAATTTGGTGTTTATTCCCCCAAAGATTTCCTGTATATATGATATGCCTATTTCACATCAATAGAAACATACTGTTCTGTGGTCTGCTTTATGTTTTTCCTAAATGTTATACAGTATAATCTTTTACATGACAAATACTAAAATTTTGCTTTATCTCTTTTAATGATGACACAGTCTATCATTAAACATATAAACTATAATTTATTTAATCAAAACTCCACTGATATAACTTGGGTTTTTCTAATTGTTTTGCAATAACAAATAATATTGTGATGAAGATCCTTACAGGGGTATTTTTCAAAATTTATGTAATTATTTTCCCAGGATTAATTCCCATGAATAACTTTATCAGATTAAAGGAAATGCAAACAAGTATAAATTTTAAGTACACATGCACAAACATATACACATCTTAATTTCTAAAACTTTTGGACCAATTTATAGATTTGCCACGTTATGATAGTGTTTGTTCACCCACATCCCTCCCATCAACGGTTGTTATTAAAATTTTTTTCTCTATTTTTATAACCTGAAGGTTGAGGAATTGCAGTATTTTAATTTTAATTTTTAATTTCTTTTTTCGTTACTTTTACTTTTATTTATTTAAGTAGGTGCCATTTATTGAGTACTTACAAGGTGCTAGTAAGTGCTCTATCCACATTACATAAGAGAATTCATTTAATCCTTAAAGTCATCCCTATTTTACAGACAAATTGAGGGATAAAAATGAATCCATATTCTCATTTTATATCAGCCAAATATCTCAATAATTGCTCATCAGAGCTGATTAACAAATGATAATCAACATATTCAATATTTGGTATTTCATTTACCTTACAAGGCATTCTTTTTTTTTTAACTTTTATTTTAAGTTCAGGAGTACATGTGCAGGTTTGTTATGTAGGTAAATTTGTATCATGGGGGTTTGTTGTACAGATTACTTCGTTACTCAGGTATTAAGCCTAGTACCCATTAGTTATTTTTCCTGATCCTCCCCCTCCTCCCAGCCTTCACCCTCTGACAGGCTCCATTGTGCATTGTTCCCCTCTAGTGTGGTGTCCATGTGTTCTCATCATTTAGCTCCCACTTATAAGTGAGAACATGCAGTATTTGGTTTTCTGTTCCTGAGTTAGTTTGCTAAGGATAATGGCCTCCAAGCTCCATCCATGTACCTGCAGAGGGCATGATCTCATTCTTTTTATGGCTGCATAGTATTCCATGGTGTATATGTACCATATTTTCTTTATCCATTCTACCATTGTTGAGCATTTAGGTTCATAGCATGTCTTTGCTTTTGTGAATAGTGTTGCAATGAACATAAGGGTGCATGTGTCTTTATGATAGAACTATTTATGTTACATTGGGTATATACCTTGTAATGGGACTGCTAAGTTGAATATTTCTGTTTTTAGGCCTTTAAGGAATTGCCACGCTGTCTTCCACAATGGTTGAACTAATTTATGCTCCCACCAAGAGGGTATAAGCAAGCATTCCTTTTACTCCACAACCTCACCAGCATCTGTTATTTTTTGACTTTTTAATGATAGCCATTCTGACTGGAGTGAGAGTATCTCATTGTGGTTTTGATTTGCATTTCTCTAATGATCAGCGATATAAGCTTTTCTTCATATGCCTGTTGGCTGCACGTATGTCTTTTTTTTGCAAAGTGTCCATTTGTGTTCTTTGCCCACTTTTTAATAGGGTTGTTTGTTTTTTACTTGTAAATCTACTTAAGTTCCTTATGGATTCTGGATATTAGATCTTTGTCAGATGTATAGTTTCCAAAAAGTTCTCCCATTTTGTAGGTTCTCTCTTCATTACATTGATAGTTCCTTTTGCTGTGCAGAAGCTCTTTAGTTTAATTAGATCCCATTTGTCCATTTTTGCTTTCATTGCAATTGCTTTTGGCATCTTCATTATGAAATATTTTCCCATTCCTATGTCCAGAATGGTTTTGTCTAGGTTGTCTTCCAGGGTTTTTGTGGTCTCAGGTTTTATATTTAAGTCTTTAATTCATCTTGAGTTGATTTTTGCGTATGGCATAAGGAATGGGTCCAGTTTCAATCTTCTGCATATGGCCAGCCAGTTATCCCAGCACCATTTATTGAATAGGAAAGCCTTTCCCCATTGCTTGTTTTTGTCAGCTCTGTAGAAGATCAGATAGTTTTAGGTGTGCAGCCTTATTTCTGAGTTCTCTATTCTGTTCCATTGATCTATGTTTCTGTTCTTGATCCAGTACCATGCTGTTTTGGTTAGTATAGCCCTGTAATTTAGTTTGAAATCAGGTAGCATGATGCCTCCAGCTTTGTTCTTTTTGTTAGGATTAGACCTTTTGACTATTGGGGCTCTTGTTTGGTTCCATATGAATTATAAAATAGTTTTTCTAGTTCTGTGAAGAATGTCATTGGTAGCTTAATAGGAATAGCATTGAGTCTACAAATTGCTTTGAGCAGTATGGCCATTATAACGATATTTATTCTTCCTACTTATAAGCATGGAATGTTTTTTCCATTTGTTTGTGTCATCGCTGATTTCTTTGAGCAGTGTTTTATAGTTATCCTTATAGAGATCTTTCACCTCCCTGGTTAGCTCTATTCCTAGATATTTCTCTGTGTGTGGCAATTAT